GCTATCTCCTTCAGTGTAGTTACGTCCATTAAAGTTATTGCCTTAAAAAACTCAATAGGCTACCAGTTAATCACAACCTGAGACCCGTGTTTAAACAATTCAGAAATGTTTTTATTCATACTGTCATGGGGACAGACCTTTTACACTTCACATATGTTTTATAAGAAATACCGAACTCTTCTTTCCAGCTCATTTGTTTCACTGGTTGGCACGGGAAAGCCCAGGTTTCTAAAGGCAGCACGAGGTATAGTAACAAAGGACTTTCAGCGTCAGTCAGAGCTGGGTTTGAGTTCTGATTCTACCACTTGGGTCTGGGTCTGTTTCTCTTTCCACAAAGTGGGACAATACCATTACTCTGCAGGAGCTGGTTTAGAAAATTAGAGACATTTTTGCAAAGAGCCTGTCTGTACAGGGCAGGGATGCGCATTATTTTTCCAGCTTCTCATTTCTGCAGACCGCACTTCCTAGAGAAGCTGGGGCTTCACCACTCAGGAATGACAGACACTGCGCATCACGGAGGACACGGTTCCAAGTCCATAAAAGCTGCTTCCCCGCTCACTGGCCTTTTATTTTTTTTTTTTTAAAGATTTTATTTATTTATTTGACAGAGAGAGATCACAAGTAGGCAGAGAGGCAGGCAGAGAGAGAGGAAGGGAAGCAGGCTACCTGCTGAGCAGCGAGCCCGATGCGGGACTTGATCCCAGGACCCTGGGATCATGACCTGAGCCGAAGGCAGCGGCTTAACCCACTGAGCCACCCAGGCGCCCCTCACTGGCCTTTTAAAGAACCAGGGAGCTCTGTCAGTATCCCTCGAGCACACTCCCGCTCTATGAACTACGGTAAACCAGTATACCCAGTGCCCAAAACACAACCCTCGCACTCTTTAGTTCTTCTCCCTCCTGAGGGCTCCCTGGATAGCCAAGATGAGAACTTCAAAGCGATCCTCACCGATGAAGAAGAAGAAAACAAGGAATTCCTGCATCGACGATACGATGAACAAGGAACTCCCTTCGTCCCTTCTCTCCCTGTTGGTAAGACCAAATGCCCTGCGTTTATAGTTCACGGGCTTTGACTCTAAAACGGTGTTTCCGAGTACGTCAGGAGCACACACCAGCTCTTAAGTCCCGTCGCAGCAATACAGCTAAGGAAGTTTTTCTGACCGTACTGAAACCCGTATTACCTCAATTTAAATGATCCTAAGGAAAAGTCATTTCTAAGGAAACTCCACTGTGTTTCCACAATTTCCAGATTTACCTTTACGTCAGAATCCACCCCCACTACCAGCTTTTACCACTCCCATTTCAGAGTGCTCTTCAGTCACTGGAAAGGGCTCGGAATAACGCTCCAAAGATACAAGGGACAATGAAACAGTAAGAACAGGAAGGCTAACGACATCCGGAAGTGCCCTCCTACCTGCACTAGGTGAGAGCAGAGAGTCTAACGTAGGGACCTCAGTAAGCTAAAACGGGTCTGGTAACGTGGCAAGGCTTAAAGTACACCAGAGGAACGCAGGCTCTTGGCTATCCCACACAGATCTCCAGATGGCTAAGACAAACCAAGAACGACAGAAGGACACGAGAGGCAAGCACGGATGCTTCGCTTTAGGACTTCGCGAGACCTCCTCAAACAGTACGATCGGAGGACGAGAGCACACACCTAGGCTCTCAGGTGCAACACCAAAAACGTCCGCAGTAACCCAATCCGTTAGACACGCCACCTTTCAGTAATAAGATGCCATCTTTGTCATATTAATCACTCCTCCGCCCTACCTGCAAACTCAGAGCAGGCTCAGTCCAGTAATTTATCTTCAGCGTACACATTCCAGAGGTTAAGGCAAGCACTTGAGAAAGTGGGCTCTGGCCCAGAAACTATGTCCTATGGAGACAGAGATAAAAGCCTGCTGTAGAGGAGTGTGACCGATTCGCAAAATTCATTGCACACTAACTTTCAAAGACCTTTCAAGGACTTCCATCTCCAAGAGAATAACTGAATCAAGTAAACAAGAATTTCTGACCAAGCTTAACAGTGACAAAGTTTCTCTGTTATATTCACAACATTAAGATGAAAAGTTTTCCGTATTACCGCAGAGCTAAGCTAAAATCACTGGCATCTGGCTCCGACATTAACATACACATGTCACCACCTCCACGTCTGTTGCCGATTCAATTCTTTCAGTTAGTTGCCTGGGTTCCAGATTGGGTGACAGTAAGTAGATTATCTTGGCTTACTGATAATTTGTTTTTAAAAAAGAAAAAGCTAATTCAATCTTAAAAACTAACTTAAACACCAATGTTACGCAATAAAAAGCTCTTTGGATAACTCTGTTTTTTATAATCGGGACCATTCCTAGACAGGTTTAGAATAACTTTCCTATGGTAGAAACAATCCAGAAACAAATCTGTCTCCTGAAAACAAAGTTTCCTTAGTCACCCCATGCTTTTAAAAGCCTGTAAACTCACCTGCTAGAACACAGGACCCAGAGTGTGAAAGTCTGAAGGTCTCAGTCAGCCACAACAGGGCGCACGTCTGCAGAACGTCTTCTCCTAGAGTCCTTTTGCTCTTGAAATATCAGTATTGTTTTAAACTGGCAACAAAAACGCCGCTTGCTTTTAGCTCTCTCTGAAGACAAGCTTCCGTCTTAGGTTGACTCTAGGCAACACTAAGGATCACAGCCCTGGGACTGATTCCTATGCTTTCCACAGACGGCTGTACAAAATGCCCTGTCAGGTTGGTGGCTGGAATTAAGGTCATAAGCAAACTGGCCTCCCACTTCAGCCATACTAGGAAATACTTCCTAATAAGATGTGACAATTCTTATGCAACGCTCTGAAATACAAAGCATCTTCAGAAAGGTAAGGATTTTACAGTTGTGGCCAGGGACTAAGAATACTGGTTCACTGGATAAAAAGATGTCACCTGGAGTTCAGAATGGGTAACCCCTGGGGGAGGAGGGATTCTTACCCAGCACACAGAGAAGAGCAAAGTTATGTCTCTTTCAACGTATGTCCTTTTCTCCTCCCAACTCCACTCCCCCAACACAGATCTCCAGATCTCATAAAAACACAAATAAAAAAAAAATGCGGTCTCGGCCCACCTCAAAACCCTCCATCCAAAAGTCGACTTTTCAACAGGGAGAGCTCAGACCCTGGATGGTGGTAATGAAAGCTGATCAACTCTAATTTGATCACTGGCCTGAATGGATACAGTTGATTTCACTGCAGTATTATCAACACTTTGAATTTTCATCTGCCCTTGCCTCCCCCAAAAAGATGCAGAAGAAAAGCCAACACGAGGTTAAAAAGCTGCATCTTTGCCATCATACTGCTAAGATGGTCCAGCTGCAGAGATCAAATAAAACGCTCTGCATTCCCTGCTGCCCGGCCCAGACTCACTCCCAAGAACAAGGAGACCGTCTCACTGGTCTAGTCCTCTGATAATCTACTGATGAGGATCACTGCAGAGCCCGACAGCTCAGAAAAAATGTACTCTCTTCAAGGCAAAAAGGAAAAAGCATAACGGGGAGCTGGAGCAGAGGCGACGAACACCACCGAAACAGCAAGGGGAGGAATTACAATCCTTGTGTCAACGCTGATCACGTGCGCTACCAGAGACCAGGAGGAAGGCAGCAACGGACTAAGGAAGGTACTGAAGTTTCGTCTGAGAATGCATTGAGAGATACACACAGACGGACATGTAACATTTCCGCTGTCCTCGGACCTCGAACCCCCACCACAGACCTCAGTCGTGTTCAGACGACAACTGTAGGTGTGTACCCACAAAGCATGTATCTACGCTGACCAATTACAAATGATTTAAAGAAAAAAAAAAAGAGGAAAACATGTTCGAAAGCAGAATGCAAAGAAGCATAGACTAATGCATACCTTACTCAAACTCAAAGCCCCAGCAATGATGTGTAAAGAAAACATTTTTTTTTAAGTGTCCATCCTGTTAGGCATTGAACGGCTTAACACAGGTTCCCTCATACAATACTAACAACGACCCCAGGAGGTAAATGGCGTTATCCCACTTTGAGAGATGTGGAAATTAAGAGTCAAAGTTTTAGTAGCTTGCCCAAGGTCACGAGGCCAATAAATCTTAGTATTTAAACTCAGGTCTGTCCAGCTCTCAAAGCTGAATTATCTTTTTATACCTTACTGATACACATACATGCCACCGATAATCATCTTATTCCAGTTCATTCTCTAATGAGGACACCATGAGGAACAAAACTTCCAGCGTCACGCTCAGCCTTTACCGACTACCTGGCATGAAGGTATTAACAATCACCCAGGCAGACCTTCCAGAGCCACTCAGCTCTTCTGTCACAGCCCATGGACGCCAACCACAACCCTATTCTCTGCTACCAGAAACCTAAGAGTCCTACAGAAGTTACATTTACAAGAATGCTCGGACTCCCTCTCGGACCCTGGCCTATGCTGCTAAATGCACAGGATGACTGCCCCACTCACCAAAAACTCTTCAGAACAAATATCAAGGAACAGCCGAATTTTTTTAACCCCCAATTTACTATGTCCTGAAAAGCTGGAATTCGGAGGTGGACTGAACTCAGACACCAACTGACGGCGCCGTCACTTCCCAGCCTCACAAGCAGCTGGATTCACCCCTAACAGAAACAACAGTCCCAAACCCCGAGAAGGGAAGAGACTGGATCTGACAGGAGGCCAGAACTCGGGCAAGCGAGTTTCCAGCTTTTAACAGCGTAAGAATCACGACCCACCAAGAGGGAGAACCACGGACGTGTAGGCTTCACTGGGGTTCTCTGAAGATACACAGCAATAGTTTAGGACAGAAAGTCAAGATGCCCACAGCCAGTAAAACTTGTCAAAGTAACTTAACCAGAGCTGGAACGCAGCCAACAACAATACCCCAACTCTGAGATCCTGTGGCAGGAATTTTAAGACTTCAGTGGTCAGCACTTGAGCATCAGGGTAGGGTCTGTCTTGGGTTCAGGAATTCAAATGCCTTCAACTCCTACTCACCTTTCCTTCTTTATCACTGAAGTAGGGCCAGGCTGAGCTCCTGAGAAAATAGGTCTGTTGATTCACTGAAGGGCTGAGAAAAGTTAAAGTTTAAATGGCAAAGTATCTCTACCAAACATCACAATAAAAATATTTAGGAATACATTTCAGAGTCCTTCTAGACCTCCTCAGAAAGATTTAAAACCAGAGTAGCTCGAGCTACTGAACAAATAACCCACCCAGTTAACAGGAATAAAATGAACCAGGTAAGTCATCTCCCGGCTCCACCGACACGTAGAAAAGCCACCTAAAAGGAAAACCTGAATCCTTCCGACGCTAACCCATAAGCAAACCTCTCAACAAGAAGCCACAGAGCAGGGGGAAATCCCGGGGAGAATGTGATAGCGCTGGTGCCGGTTTGTTTACAGGACTCCAGCAACAATCATATGAGTCAGAAATTCAAGCCACCAGATGCTTTCCAACTAACAGGGAGCAAATGGTACGGTTCTGCGGTGCCCTGGAAGGTCTGGGGGTGAGGGGAAGCAAGCTGCGAGAATTGTATTACAACGGGAACAAGAGCGGACGGCAACAACTGACTTGGACCTCGGCCTTCCGTACAAGGTGCCGGGCCCGAGAACTCGCGGTGGGGGAGGGGGCACACTGCGCGGTGGCCCCGAGGTGACGGGGAGACGCACCGCACCGCTTCCCCCGGTCTAAGGGGTAAAAACGCGCACACAAACGGGTCACCCCGTGGAGCAAGACGTTCCTGAGGACTGCGGGGCAGGCTTTTGGGGGCAACCCCAGGGCTGACCTGAGGCAAGGGCAGCCAGTCCTCCCGGCGGAGACTCGGGTCAGGGCCAAGAACAGACCTGAGCCCCGGGAACTCGGGAAAGGAATCCAACCTATCCTGACGGGGAGCGGGCCGGGGGCGAGGGGGTCAGGAGGCCAAGCCGGAACGAGACACGGACCGGACAGGTCAAGGGGGGGGGGGGTGTCCGGCTGGGGCAGTTACAAGCACGGGAGCCGGCGAGGCTCAGCAGCCCGCTTCCCGTCTTGGGTCATCCTTCTGCCAGCGGCTGCTCCGACTGTTCCAGGCCCAGCCGCCCCGTCCACTGCCGCCACCAACGCCGCCGCCATCTTACACTGGCCAGCGGCCGCCACCACCACCGCCTCCGCTCTCGGCGCCTGCGCCTGCGCCGCCACGCTTTTCGGCCCCGTTTGCGACGAGGTGCTGGAGGAGACTGAGGGAAGAGTGGTCGCGCGAGCTCTCGGCTCCCAACCCTCCTCGGAGGACGCAGAAGGGGCGGGGCTTAGGACCAACGGAAAACAGAGCGAGGGGCGCGTGCGCACTCCCGGGAGACGGAGTTGCTCTCGCGGCGGGTTCCGGGGCTTCGCTTTCCTCGCGCTGGCAAAGCGGACGCGAGCTGGGGGCCTCCCCGAGTTGCGGTGGTGTGGTGGAAATAAACTTCGTTTCTGGCGGGCTTGCGGGCGGCCTCCTGGGCGGCCTCCATTTTGCCCTGCTTTTCGATACTGGGAACAGGCGGTTGTCGCTGGGTTTCCTCTGATAACCCCATTTCCTTTGAGGACCTTGTTTTCTTCATTGTTTCTGCACCTTCGAGACCCGTTTCCCCCTGAGAGCTTCCATTCCCCCCTTTCCAGATTCAAAGAAGGGATTCGGAAGCTCAGGGTGCCGCGGAGCTCTTCCAGAGGCTGTTTGTCCGAAGGCGGGTGCTGGGCGGTGGGTTCCCCAGCATGGCCTTGGTGCTGTGCGCTCTGCTCGGTTCGGACGCCCGAAGGGAGCCTGCAGAGGTCTGGAAAGGCGGCTGCCAGGCGCGGGGATTTGGACCGGCCTGGGTGCAAGAAGCTGACCCTTTTCACCTCCTCTATCGCTACCATGCTGTTATGTCATTATGTATTACTTAGACTGTCGCAATGGACACCTAGCTGGTTTGTCTGCTTCCACTATTTACCTGTCAGTTAGACAGAAGGCAGCCAGTGTGACCTTTTAACATGCAAGTCAGGTCATATTATTACCCCAAATCTTCCTCATCACACATTAAAAAAAAAAAAAAGATCACAATGGCTTCCAAAGAGGGCCTCACGTGTTGTTGCACCTGTTTCTCTGATTTCATCTCCTCCCATGCCGCCTGCCTCTGGCTTAGCCCCATTGGCTTTCTCTGCTCTTAACTCCAGCCAAAACAAGGCCCACCCTTAAGGCTTCTGCATTTGTTCCCCCTTCTTGGGATAGTCGCCTACCAGATCTTTACCAGACAGACTGGCTCCCTCCACTCAGATCTCTACTGAAATCCTACTTCTGGGTGGCAGCTTGACTGTTCCAACGCAAATGGTATCACACGCTGCCATCCTCCTCTGTCCTCTCACCCTGCATTGTTTTTTCCTAACATTTTTTAAAAATCTGTGAACACTTAACCTATAATTATGTATCTGTAATCTAAGTATACTAATAGAATATAAGCTCTGTAACAGCAGGGACTTTATCTTTCTCATCGTTGTAACCCCAGCATCTAGAAGAGGACCAGAGCACAAAGTAGCTCTCTGATGCCTTACCACTCTATTCATTCTTTCATTCGCTCCGGCAACATCTGTTGAATTCCTGTAGCGTGTAAGGCCCTGTTCTAGGTACTGGGGCTGAAGCAGTGAAAAAAACAAACCCAGATGCCTGCATTCACAGAACTTATTTCTCAGTGCAGGGTTGGGAGTGTAAGGGGAAGACAGGGCCACACACACGAAAATATTAAGGTCATGGAGACTAGCTGCAAATAAAGCAGGGTTCACCTGAATAGATGTGCTCTTTCACAGAGGGGGTTCAGGGAAGTCCCTCTGCTGGGATGACATTTGAATAAAGATTTGAAGTGAGAGAGTGAACCACATACACAGGGGAGAGAACCTTCCGGGCAGAGGGAACAATAAGGTAAAAAGACCTGAAGCTTGAGTGTGCTTGGTGTACCCAAAGAACAGCAGGGAAGCCAGCGTGGCCGAGGAGCAGGGAGGCAATTAATTAGTTTGGAGATACATGATGGGGGCCAGATCGCTCCCAGATTTATAGACCAAGGAGAGGACTTTGGATTTTATCTCCAAAGAGTGCTAGAAAGCCATGAAGGATTCTGAGTAAAAAACTGACACGTGGGGCACCTGGGTGGCTCAGTGGGTTAAGGCCTCTGCCTTCGGCTCAGGTCATGGTCCCAGTGTCCTGGGATCGAGCCCCACATCGGGCTCTGTGCTCTGCAGGGAGCCTGCTTCCACCTCTCTCTCTATCTGTCTGCCTCTCTGCCTACTTGTGATCTCTGTCTGTCAAATAAATAAATAAAATCTTTGGAAAAAAAAACTGACATGATCTGATTTATAAGTAAAGAGATTTACTCTGGTTGCTTGCTTCTTTGAAAACCGCCAAAGGGAAGCAAAACAGAAGCTGAAAGACCAGTTAGGAAGCTATTGCAAAAGATCTGCAAGACTAGTGTTGCAGTGGACGTGGTAGAAAGTAGTTGGATTCAGGCCATACTTTGAAGGTGGCAGAGGTGATTTGCTAATAGTTTGAGTATGAAGTGCAAGATAAAGAGTCAAGCTATCTCAGGTTTTTTGACCTGAGTGACAGGGTAAGTAGTAATGCCATTTACTGAGATAGAACTCCAGGCGGGGGGGGGAGGGGGGAGCAGAAGGGTTGGTTTGTTTTGTTTTTTTTGTTTTTTTTGTTTTGGAAAAATGTCCAGTTCTATTTTAGACATGTTAAACTGGAGATGCCTTTAGATTTCCAAATGGAGCTACTGAGTAAACAATTGAAATATGAATCTGAGGTTCATAGGAGAAGACAATTGGGGGTATAAATGGCATATATAACCATGGAGTGGGGAGTGCTTACTTGATGTGGAAGGAAAGTAGTCTCTATACAGGCTGAACCCTCTAATCCCAAGGCGCCCCAACTAGTAAAGGTCAGGGTGGGCAAAAAAATCCAGCAAAATTTATTTAGAAGAAGCAACCAGGAAATAAAATTTAAAACCCAAGAGTAAAGGGTCTTATAAAACACATTTCTTAAATGTTTCAAGAAGGACACTATCAACTGTCATTCTTGTTGAAGAGTTTGAGGTTAAGATGACTGGAAACTGACCACTGGATTGGGAAACACGGAGGTTAAGACTGCCAACAAGAGTGATGTTAGCAGAGCCACGGTTACTGGGACCTGGTTACTGTGCTTTGATGGACACCATTGCTCTTACCGCCAAATCTTATTTTGGGCTTTTCTATTGAGTTTGAGGTTGTGATGATTTTTGACCCCTTCTAAAAACTCAATCTCACAGACTTCCGTGACATGTATGTCACAGTTCGTTTATACCTCTTGACAGTTTATTCCATGAGCTTCTCCTTCTCTTCACTCCACATGTACTTCCAAAGTGATCTTATTCATCTTATTCATTCTCACAGTTTAAACTACCATCCAGATCCCAAAGCCTTTACTGCCAATCCAGGCTTCTCCTTCAGGCTTTAGAATCACATACTTGATAGTCAATGGCATTAAAAAAAAAAAGAAAAACGCTTTATTAGAATGAAATTCACATACAATTCACGCATTTGAAGTGTGCCATTGAACCGCTTTTAGTACATTCACAGATATGTGCAACCATCACACTTTTCCACCATTTTAATCCTCTCAAAAAGAAATCCAGTACCCTGTGCTATTATCCCCTATCTTCCCATCCCCCTCCAGCCCTAAGAAACCATCAAGTACTTTGAATCTATGGATTTCCCTCTTCTGGACTTCCTACATTTTTGTGTGTGATTGGTTTCTTTCACTTAGCAGGTCTTCAAAGTTCATCCATGTTGTATCATGTATCAGTGTTCCATTCCTTTTTATAACCAAATATTGTTCCATTGTATGAATATTCCACAACTTGTGTATCCCTTCATCTGCTGATGGACAGTTTGGTTGTTTCTTAAGACTATTATGAATAATGCTGCTATAAAAATTCATGTTCAAGTTTCTGTGTGGACACATACTTCATTTCTCTCAGATATACACCTGGGAGTGGAATTTCTGGATCATGTGGCTAATTCTAAGCTTAATCATTTGAGAAACTGTTTTTCAAAGCAATTATACCATTTCACGTTCACACCAGCAGTGTATGAAGGTTCCAGTTTCTACCCATCCTGGCCAATATTTGATTATCTTTTTATTTCCAGCCATCCTAGCAGATGGGAAGTGGTATCTCACTTGATTTGGGTTTGCACTTCCCTGATGACTAACAATGTCATGCATCTTTCATGTTTATTAGACATTTTCATCTTCTTTGAAGAAATGTCTAATCAGATCCTTTGCCCATTTTTAAATTGTCTGTTTCTGAGTTTCAAGAATGTATATTCTAGGGTGCCTGGGTGGCTCAGTGGGTTAAGCCTCTGCCTTCAGCTCAGGTCATGATCTCAGGGTCCTGGGATTGAGCCTGGCATCGGCATTGGGCTCTCTGCTCAGCAGGGAGCTTGCTTCCCCTTCCCCCTCTGCCTGTCTCTCTGCCTACTTGTGATCTCTCTCTCTCTCTCTCTGTCAAATAAAAAAAACATATTCTAGATCCAAGTCCCTATCACGTGTATGATTTACAAATATTTTCTTCCATTCTGTGGGTTTTCATTTTTGATGGTGTCTTTTGAAGCGCAAAGCTGTCTAGTTTTGATTAAGTCCAATTTATCTTTTTTCTTTTGTTTTTCATGCTTTTGGTTCCGTATCTAAGAATCCCTAGCTAAGCCCAAAGTTATAACAGTTTTAACCCTGTTTTCTTCTAAGAGCTTTACTGTTTTGGTTACTACTTTTAGGTCTTTGACCTATTTTAATTTTATCTAATGTGAGGTAGGATTAAGCTCAATTCTTTTGGATGTGGCTAGCCAGTTGTCCCAGCACCACTGTTGAAAAAACTGTTCTTTCCCCACTGGATGGTTTTGGCACCCTTGTCAAAAATC